CGAATATAATATACGTATTATCTATGCGATCGTATACCTACGCTGGTTTATATACATTTATATAGATTAGACCACGCGACGGTAAAAGCTAACAGCATCTAATAATGCGTTATTATTTTACGCACATATAATATTATATAAATATACGGAAAAAGCTTATAGCGTACAAAACACAAGTTGGACAAGGACCTGACTACTTTTACATATTACAATATAAATATATACGTGGGCGATATTCCAACTGATGGGTTATTCGGTAATATGTGAATAATAGTAACGTCGCCAAAAAACATATACATATATATATATATATACACATAAACATGAAAAGAGTCATTACGTAAGTTAGCGATTCGCCTCACTTATTCTTTGGGGAAAAATTCCATTGCAGGCTGACGTAAGTACCATTGAACTTAAAAACTTGAAAGTTAAATTTTAATAACTTCGATATCTGTAGACGGGTTCTATTTTATACATCATTTAATGTGAAAAAATTAAAACCGTGTGTAAATTATATTTCAAAATGTCTTCTCAAAATTACACAGTAAGCACCGTCAAATATCAAACTTTAAGGAAATTCCAGTTTCCCAAGAAATGTTCGATAGTTTTTAGGATTTAACGAACATTAATAACGATACTGACAACTATTATACTAGATTATAATTTATACACACACCCATTTTTTATTGAGCAAAAATCACTATTCGTTTTTATTGTCAACACACGTACATTGACCGGCAACGAATTACGGTATGCGTAGTAATATTTACCAGTTCGGGAGGATTGTGGTTAGATTTCAAAAAGGCCGGAAAATGTTGAAAACCATAAATTTAATGCCAAAAATAATATATGAATGAATGATTGATGAAAGCAGAAAATTGTGTTGGACTTTATTTAAACAAGCGATTGTGAACATGCATAAGTCAAACGTATAGTACACGCACGCACTGTGGCCATTTCTCATTTATTTGTTCGACAATATATGCCAGCTTGATTAAATTATATACTATATTAATGCACATTGTATAATTTTACACAAAATAGTTGAAATGCTGAAAAAAATAATTTAAACAATGTGTTCATAAAAATACAGAAAATTTAGAATAATACTGCGCTCATGAGTAAAAAAAAAAATATTTAATAACAAAATATGATTTTATTAAAAATACAATTCTACAATAAGACATATTAAAAAATAATTTTTGTTTTTTTAAACAACCAGTATTATTTAACCTAAAAAATTTTAAAGCATAAAATTAAAATTATAATTGATTATCTGATACATCACTATAATTACAATGAACGGTGGAAAAGGTCTATTTGTTTTTTTTTATTTTATAATTGAGTAACACGATTATGAAAGACATTCATAAATAAAATATAAATGTTGTTAATATTGTTAAAATCATAGAGTATATAAAAAAAATAAATATTGTTTGTAAATAAATTGCATAGTATGATTTGATAAAAGGTGTTATTTTTCTAATGTAATTTTAAAAATTCAATGCAAACCATTATATAAGGTGAGATATTGAGTGACAGCTTTTAAATTGCAATAGCTTCCGACTAGAGTTATATTAAAAAATGAAGTATGATTTAAAAATTCCATTAGCAATGTATACTGATATAATTCGTTAATTGCATAAGATATTTATTTTATTAACTAAATTATATTTTCTATCTTTAATAGTGAAAAAAAAGACAAATTAAATTGAATATATTCCATACATTCAAAAGGTAAATTAATCCCTTAAATATATTATTTCAATGATGCAGAAAAATGTGTAGATTCACTAATGATGAATTTTATTAATTGTTTTAAATGTATTAAATTATAATTCACAAAAAATATATCTACGAAAAAAAATTTTAATGTATACTAGAAAAATTATACTTCCTATACATTTAAAAATACTCATTAAATAACATTTGAGAAAAACTTCTAAATAATTGTTTATTTTACTATTTAAATGCAGAAAAATTTAACAAAACATGTTTGACGTATTAAGCTAATTAAACTAAATAATTAAGATAAATAAACTAGGTTTGTACAAACTGTATTTAATAATATTGGTTCACTTTTATATTTTAACGTTTAATTTAAGTAAAAATATAAAATACCCTTAGAAATTGTATTTAGGTGAATAACTACCTACTCAATTAATATGTTTACAATTTAAAATATAATTACTTTCAATAAAAAACAAATCATTAAGAATATTGTTATTTAATAAAGTTATAGTAATTAACAAAAATATAACATAGGATAATATAGAATACAGAATAAATACGTAATATGTTTCACATTTATCTTCTTTATTTTAGTTCATTAAAATAAAAAAAATAATTCAGTAACTCACGGATCAACTTGATAATTTAATCCACGTTAAATATAATACACTATTATTTTCACATTGACGGGTACTACAGAGCTTAAATATAACTGTATATAATTTTTTTAAGTAGAAATGAAAAAAGCAATTGTAGTTTAAAACTGTTCGTACAAATAATTTATGTTCAAATTTTAAAATGGAATACTTGTAATTATTTTTTTCGTAACATATTAGGAAATCAATTGAATATGAAAAAATATTAATTTTTAAAAATGTCATGCTTAAACAATATAGATTGTTAAATTATCTTATACCTGTAATAATTTGATAATTTAAAAATATATAAAATAGATGGTTATAAATATTTAGTGAAATGTGATTCAAGAAAAGTTGTTAAATTTTTGAGGCAATTTTGAAAAAATCCTACTACTCATAAATCCTAAATTACTCCAAATTTAATTAATGATTAAAACAAATGTAACTAACAACAAATAAATACAATTTGAAACAATATAATAAACATAATAATTGAATAAAAAATGTAAATATGATTAATTTATATATTTTATAAATATTTTTTTTTAAATAAATATAATATATTTTAACTAAATTTTAGTTAAAATATTTACATTCCGATGAGATGTATTTTATTATTCGAGAATCATCTTAAATTATATACTTATATATTCATTATTCAGACTTCAGTTTTTAAATCGTAGAAAAGCTCATGTTTAAATCATTTCGATATGGATAAAGAAGGAAGTTATCGAAAAAAACATACAACCATATACCTATGATACATTCAACGTAAAGACATGTAGAAAAATCAGAGATGGCAGAATTCTTTTCGTTTTACTTCAAATCGATTGAATTGAAAATGAAAACCATTTGGCTCTAAACTTGTAGCATCTGATTTATGTATTATAACATGCATCTATATCCTACATTTATGATTTATATTTAAATAATTTATGAAGTTCAATGATACGAACATTTCACCACGTTAAACATTTATACTTGGATTCACGGAATCGGTGTTTATACATTTCTAACTTAGCGATTTTGAAGAAATATAAAACCTCTGCCAAGATTTTAAGGGTATGATTTATGAAACGAAAACTACTTAAGCGCTTAGCATTATTATTATTTTTGTTGAGAAATCCACACCTGAGGCTTAAAATGATAATATAATGGTTACATTTTTCAATAAAATTCGAAAAAATAAAAGACAATAATTGTTACTTTTTCTCGCAGGATTTAATTTCCATTTAATAATTTTCAATATAAATATATAAATACTGTTATCAAAAACAAACTTAACAGCTTTCTAAAACATGATAACATTAATTTTTTATTTTTCGATCATCTAAGTTAACATATGGATATTAGGTAGTTATTTTAATTATTAATTAATTAAATTATAGTATCTCATAGTTTAGTAAAATTATTCTTTTAAGAGATAACGAAAAAATAATTTAACGTTTCAAATTAAAATTAAACAAATATTTCATAATAATAATCCAAACGTACAGTCATAATATAAAAATTATTTTACAAAATGAGTTAAAGGTCACCGACTTGACTCATGAAATCTGTTTGAAAAAAAAAAATTATTACGCGAACCGTCCACCTGAAATAATTGTTATTTTTTATTTTGTAATGTCATTGGATTGCTTTCTATACCTAGATCGAACAGTTATAGAAGGAAATGTAGGCTTAGCGACCATAAATCGCAATAAGAGTTTAAACCAGTTTATTCCAACTACAAACGTAATACTATTCGTAATGGTTTACCTATATTCTTTTAGAACGCACGTAGTACATATGTTTTTATCTGTGTACGCGTTTGTGTAAGATACGTAGACCTATTACGAGCACGAACCCACATTGCATAAAATACATATGATATCGTTTAAACGAAAAAGCCGTGATTTTCCGAATCCTATGCACGGTGTATGATTTAACAAGGCTTGACTTACATCCAGTGGCGTAGATACGATGGGAGTGTAAGGGGTTTCCTCCCAGATTTCTTTTTTTATGATATTTAATTATTATTTATTAATACTTACATATTATAGTAAAATGATATTTTTATTTTAATACGATTAGGTATGTATTAAAAATTGAGTAACAAAATAATTTTCATTTCATACGGGACATAATAATACCATTGTAAATGTAATATTATTATATAGGACCTCGTATTAAGAAATACTAAGAATTTATCTACGCCACTGCTTAAATCAAATATAGAATCTACTCTTATTCTGTATGCCATTCTCATTCAAACACATGATTGAACATTTTTTTACATCTCATAATCTACATATATATATATCGGAAAATACAAAAATTAATATAAACTATAATCGCAATAGCAATACTCTCTCGACAATTTGTTACTGTGAAGTCTTATTATAACACAATTTATATTATTATACATTCAAATAAATGTTTAAATTATTGTTATAGTAATAAACATACGATTAATAATGATAATTATGAACAGGTATGCCCCCCCAAATAAATATGCACGCATAGATACATGCACACATAGACAAGCAACAGTGCGGCTAATTTACAGACATATTATACAATACTTTGATTGTAAACTTAAAAACTAATAATAAAAAAATAAGAAAATAAAATGTGAAGATTATAGTTTACCTTGGTGGCCGACATAGTTTTACGTGGGAGTTTGTGGCGATGTCATAAAACAAACTGGACGGTTTATTTCGAATTTCTTATTCGTAGAACCGGAGTATAAAAAAAAAAAAAAAAAAACAGTCGCAACTATTATTCCTTTTGGGTTATTTTAATGGGTATTATACGTATTATACGTAATGGTTTTTCGTTTTTGCAATACCGCGTTGCTCGTCTATCGTACGCAATGAAATCCGATTTGGGTAGGGAAAAAAATCTGTTCGTATTTTGCTGCCGTGATGTGTACGCGAGGATATAACACGATGATGGTACGAACACGGCCCGGTGCACGGCGGCGCACACGACACGAGATACCGGTGGCGACGGCGACGGCGACGGCGGTGGCGTATCTACCGAAACGACCGTGCGGTGGCGGCGATGCGTTACGAGCGACAGTAACGCGGTGAGGAGAGCGGTAATAGCGGAGGCGAAAAACTCGGCGATGTGCGCGCGGCGGCGATACGCGTCGAGTACGGCGGCGCGGCCGGTCGCCCGACACGCGCGTGCAGTAGGGTAGGTTGGGGCAACGGGTGGGGGAACTTAACGACGACGCCCCCTTTAACGCGCACGCATGAAAGTTCTGCCGCCACCGCAACGGTAAAAGCAGCAGCAGCAGCAGCAGCACCGGCAAATACGCTCTCAGGCGGACAACGGTACCCCGTGTGAACGCCAGCGGGAGAGTGCGTGATCTTTTATTCATTCATAACAATGATAATTCATCTCGGTAAACCCAAGGCGCGTACACTAATAATAATAATAATAATAATAATAATATAATACCTCCGCCGCATACATGTACGCAATAAGAATGACTGAATTCCAATAGAATAGTATCGAATAAATATTATTGACTCGACCCCGTCACATAGGTGTGAACGTGTGGGTTCATTCTTGATTAAAGACCCAAAGACGTACGGAAATATACCACCGATCATTTTACTTACACAGAAATGGTACGTGGTATTTCAGCGAAATCGATTGCGTTTATAAGTGCCTAATTGAATCCTGGAAAATTTATCATTTATGCTTTCGTTGTGTGAGGCTTTGAAATCGTTAGAGATGAAGGAAAGCATGTGACGTGGGCACGTAGTAAATAATTAATAATATGAGCAAAAAAATTATCCGGTACAGTATACTTAACTACAACTATATTTTTGTGTGCATGTAACTACACTGCATAGGAACCGGGAACAAGTAGATAACAACGTGAAAGTTATAAAGCGGAAATGACTATCTTCCTTCAAGACGTTAGTATTTTTCTATCATAACGATTCAGCGGTCAAGTCCTTTTATTCTACAGATGAAAATTAATTGATTTATGTCTTCAGAGATTAATTTTCTACTAATCAATAATATTGGATAAAAAAGTTTAAAAAAAATAAAAAATCTTGTTATAATATAAAACACGAGGTATTATTATGATATCAACATAATATTTAAAACCACCAAAACTGTAAAAATTAGAATAACTAAAGTATGTATCAATACAATATTAATACATGATGGATGTACCGTGTATATTAAAATAAAATATTTTTATATATTTATTTAACATACTAATGAACCGGTTCTTTAGAATAATATTCAAGGATATTTTGGTATTTAATATGTAAGTACTCATCAGAAATACATACACTCTGAATCACGTATACAATGTATAAGTATATATGTAAATATTTTTGTATATAGAACGAGTCACGATGTTTTCATATCTCTTGTCATCAGGTACATATAAATGTAGAAGAGAGTGGTTTTTCCGAGGACGAAGATTGGCTTTTAATTTATAAGAGCACATTTGTCAATATAACTGCACATAATATGTTAAATACATTTTTTTATCATTCATTTTTTATATTGAAAATTGATTTCAAATTTGTTAAATTTATATTAAATACATTCAACATTTCTTCCTTTAAACATTTTTATAACAGAAAATATAATTCATTGTATTAAGGATATTAAATGGAATGATTGTCAAAACAACTCATAGAATATTATGAATTTAGGTAGTCTCAAACAGGGGCGGATCCAGAGTCGGGGAACTGTGGGTCAAACCATTTCAAGAGGCCATTTATTAGGGATGAAACTGAGTTAGAAATGAATACCTTGTAAAAAAAAAAAACACAATATGCTCATAAAAGTGTATAAGTATATTTATATTACATTTTAAAATTAATGACACCACTGATAATGACTTATTTACGATTAATAAATATAATATAATTTTATCAGAGCAACAAACGTACGGAATAAAATATGATTTATTTAACTTTTTACTAAAACGATATAATTTAAAATATAAATTATGAATTGAAAAATTTTAAATTTTGAATATATATGGCATTCATTTTTCAAGTAATTCCGATAGGCCAACTGTCCAAGAGTCCAAATCAAGGTGTAAAAAGAGAAAAAAATTTCCAAGAGGACAATTTTGTCAACAAATATTAACTGTGGGTCAGCTGACCCCCTGAACCCCCCCTAGATCCGCCACTGGTTTCAAATCTATTCGATACCACCTAAACACATACAGGTAGCTTTCATGAATGCGATATGTATCAATTTAACGTTTTACTAGTAAATATATTCAATAGTATACAAGTATACAATTTTATGATTAGGGCTGAGATTTTAATGATTTAAAAAATAGCAGTAAATGCTATAAAAAATTTCAAAATGCTTTAAAAATTATATAAAATTCACTATAAAAATGTGTCAAAAATATCTTTATTATAGTTTATAAACGATATTATAAAAATTATGTTACCAAACATATTTAATTATATTTATTTAACATAATAATAATAACAAGAGTAAAATAGAATACTAGAAAAATGCCATAAAAACAGCAAAATATATTCTAAAGGCCCAATATAGTGTAGGTTATAGGCATTATAAATGCATTTTAAGTTAAATTTGTTATAAGATGAAAAAAATGCAAAATAATAACTACATTAAACTAATCATTATCACTTAAAACATATTTTCTGCTTACGAACCTCCATGTTGGGACATTAGAAAAAATGATGCATTTGCATCAAAATCCCAGCCCTATTTATGGTTATTATAATTCGGTTAACTTCGAATTGAGTATACAACCCATAGCAATTTTATACATTTTCGTATGACTTATTTCATATAAAATATATGCAATTATAGTTGATATGATTTTCATAAATCTATTTCCTATTCTCCTTGATGAGCTTTGAAGAAAAAAAGTAAGTAAATTAGTTTAAATATAAAAAATAATTATATTTACAAAACAAATTATTTTTTATTCCATCCTGTTGGCTTTATTTATAGTTTGTAGAGGTAAACTTAACCTATCATAATCAAATAAAAACATAATACTGTATAAGTATAATAATTCCAAGTAATTTAATAGTCATTCGACAGACAAAAACTTGAACATTTCTTGACTATAAACTTATTCTATTATAAATCTATTACATTTTAGTTATTTGATTATATATCAATTTAAACATCTTAAACATGATAAAAATATTGAATCCTTTGCTTCTACATGTGAATTATTTATCTCCTCTTTTCATAATGCTAAATTACATTAGGTGAAAAAATCACCATAGTTAAACTATAAATAATTAATTCTCTATGTAGGACATACAAATACATCTTATATATGCAGATGAGTAGATAACAGGGGAAGGTTCAAAACCCCCATTGCCGAAATTTCAGATAGTAAATAAGTAATAATAAAAATAATTATTATTTATATATATTAAATATATCAACCCCCTCTCCCATCATTTATACCTACTCCCTATTATGTATGCTATGTCAAATAAAGATCAAAACCTTATTTTATTATATAGTAATAGTAATTTTATATTATTAATTAAAATTAAAATCTTTATATTTAATTGATCGAGAGGTTACAAATACCATTTTTGTATGATTCAGCAGTATAACAATAATGTGGCTGGTAAATAAATAAATAGTATTCCCAATGTAATGATATAGGAAAGGGTGAATAGTTCTTAAAAGTTTGAAACCAATGTACCATTGTAATTATGAAAAACAATTTCGAACTAAAGAGGTCAACTCGATCATCTATAATATCTATAATATTAGAATAAATACCTAATAATTTCTTACTGATTGATTCAATTTTCAATTAACCCACCATTTAAATATAAATATGAACAAATACAATGAATAACTATTTATTTTTATATTAATCAAAAACAATAATCAAATATAAAGTTTTTATTTTATTTTATAAAATGAATACCTAATATTAACCTAATATTTACCTAATATTAAGATACATTTAATATACATGAATAATGAAATTAGTAACCCATTTTTAATTCTAATAAAAATTGTTTTACTATTAATATAATTAATAGAATAACAATTATAAAAAACACTTTTGTTTAGCCAGAAGCCAGATTTTCAGAAAATGTGTTAGTTACTATACAATAATGTATAAATGGATGCCTCGTGATACGTATGCTGTTCAAAAAGTAGTGATAATAATGGTGACAAGGGGAAATTTGTTGTAAAAGCTGCTCAAACTGCATACTACCGTATAGTCTATTATCTTATCTAACAACATGTCGAGTTATAAGTCGATCGGTGCAGTTAGTGGACATATGTAACAATTTGTATAACCTGTGTTAGATATTCACCTACCATTTCCAGTATGGATAATAAGTTAGAGTAACGTTGTAACGTGAAATTTTTAATGAAACTTGGAAAGAACCGAAAAGATGCTTACGTATGAATCATTAACTTCAGTGTATGGTGTCAAATAACATGCTGTCCTCCAATGCCGAACAGTCACGGCAGATTATTATAAATCGGTTTTAACCACGATGTTGCATAATTTCAAAAAAAAAAAAACGACCGCATAAGAAAATTAATGAAATTTTACTGCATCATGATAATGCACGGCCTCACGTCGCCCATACTATAGTGAATTTTTTAAACGCTCGTGGCATCAAAACTGTATTCCACCCTCCGTATAGTCCAGATTTAGCCTCATGCGATTCCTGGTTATTCCCTGAAATCAAGTATCCACTCAGGGGTTGGAAATTCAACAGCAATCAAGAGATCATCAAAGCTGTGAAGGCGCGGTGCAAAGAGCTCGAGAAAGATGATTTGGCATTCGTATTTAAAAAATAGCAAGAACCATGAAAAAAGTGTATTATAACCGAAAAAGGTTACTTTGAAAAAGAATAAGTAGATATGGATAGTAAAATAAATATTTTTTTCTATATAACGTTTTTATCATTACTTTTTGAACATATTACCTACGTATTTAGTTATATTTTTTTAATATTTGTTACAGGTTATAATTCCTGCGTTCAATATTAATGGCTGCGCCTAATCCCTATCCAAAAGTTGATAGAGGGCTTTCGGCATGGGATGAAATCCGCCATCTACAACATATTCATTGGTCGACCAAATGTTTTAAGTGTCAAATATATGT